CGATCGATATTGATAGGGATACTATCACGTGTGGATTTAGCTGTGGAGAATCAACAACATCCATATGTATTATGAAAAAAAAACTGATCAATATAAATTTAATATAACTCTGATCATGAATCGTACAGCCTTCCAATCAGTGTGCAAACTACAAGATAATTATAAATATATTATAGATGTAAAGGAAAAAATTAAAAATATTTTCATTAATATCAAACAAGCTTCATTTTTCCTTGATTCACACTTCAGTATTTACAATTAAAAAAAATTGTGAGAGAACCAAGGACTCTCTCTGCATAACTGTTGCACTGTTGAACAATGCAATATCGTAAGGGCACAGAGGCGAAGACCTATGGTCGGACTAGTGCGGCTTAAGAGGCGGCCGCGTAGGAAATCTACGGTTTAACGTGGCGCTGTAAGAGCCTTAGATTAAGGTTGCGAGACATAAAAAGCAGGATAAAGCTCCCCTCGACGTGGACAAAGGCTACGATTAGCTCTTAGCAAGCTCTTTAACGCGTGAAGAAATTTTCGCTCAACTCGTCGTATTTTCAGAGGGTTTCTCTACGGGATAATTTCACGTTTAAAGAATTTAAGAGATTCGGACAGCGTTTTTTCTCGAATTTTCGCATCTGGAATTACGTTTGTTAAATAAAAGAGAAATTAATAGAAAGAGAGAGGGAGAGAGAGAGAGAGAGAAAATACGTCCTTAAAAAGAAATGCAATAGAAGCAGAACACTGTGTGTGCATGTGTGTGTATAAAATGTATAACGTAATTTAATATTACGTAACAAACTATTTTTGAGACAGCAACGAAATTATGCAATATAAGTATGGTAATAGGATACTCTCAAACTAATAATGTTCGTTCGTTAAACATTACAGGTTATTATTAATTTAATGGTTACCTAATTATTTTTACATGGCGAGATGAAATTTTCAAACAAAGCAACTAAAAACAGGAAAAAATTAAAGGCATATACCACGAGCGCTCGATGTCGTATAGCGAAACTTCTTTCAAAGTCAATACATAAAATTACATTTAATTAATAAATAGACGTTTCGGCGTTCTTATTATCTCTAAACATTCAAGTACTAGATATAGAACCGTTTTTCCAAAAAAGAATTACGTCGGAAATAATTTTCATAAAAAAACAAATTAATGATTTAAATAAGCAAAGCGATACGGAAAAATTACCAGAGTCTTACTTTCCGTTAGCATAACTCCCCCTTCTTAACACCATTTTACCCTCTCGTTTGAGTTGCTTGGGGTATTTAAAGCAGTATCATGACGAGGATTTGGTAGTACGCAAAGAATTTAGCTGTTATAACATGTCATCCACTGATGATACCAATCTGCACAAGGAACACAGGTATTGAATTTATAAGCGATAACTTAGATTTTGCAACCGTTAATTATCACAAATCATTATTATAATTAGAATCTGGAAATTATGTGTTCGAGTACAACATATCAGTAACAATATGGAACATGAAATTTATGGATACATTATTAAAAATATACACCTAAAGAAAATAGAATAAGAAATTGAACGAGCGTACTGATATATCGATATGTAAAGAAGAAAGAACTCAATTTTTATTTGTACACTATACACTTCTGCGTGTTTTATAATTTTCATTTTATATACTGATGATGACCTAATAGAAGAGGCTGAAACGTCTATTTATTAATTAAATGTAATTTTATGTATTGACTTTGAAAGAAGTTTCGCTATACGACATCGAGCGCTCGTAGTATATGCCTTTAATTTTCCCTTGTTTTTAAATTTTGACCACGTATTGACATTTAATGTTTAAAGCAACTAAAGTCAGGAAAAATAAGCTTTTAACTTTATCAAAATAAAGCATTCGTAAAACTTATTGTAAAAAAATGTTCCAAAAATAATGTATATAATAGAAAGATATTGTAAGTAAATTTTGCAATTTTCTATGTTTATGAGATAGCATTACAGATAATGTGATTAAACAAAGAATTTATTTACGTACATAACTAAACTCTTGTAAAAATATAACTATCTCATTAATTCTGTAAAATTACCAAACGTCTAGGTTATACGGCAGATTCTACATTTGTAAACCAGCGAGCTCTATAGAACTCATTGATATAAACAAATGCAATTCTGTTTTGAAATCACTTCAATACGCAGAAATTGTGAAGATAATCTCGATAACCCGCAACCTCCGCAATGAGTTCAACTATCGATATCACCTATCTTACGCGTTATCATCTTCCATTACCGTTTCGAATGCAAACCAAATAACAAAAAATGTGAATGATATTCCGAAAATGTTATAAAATTTAAAGACCAATAAAATTTTAATTCGTTCACTATTCTTTGTGCAACAGATAAAGTTTTAATAAATAACATAAGCAATTCTCTATATAAAATGTTGAGTCACGAGAGAATTGTTGTTTAATATTATCAATTTAATCCCTTAAGAATTTATATTCTAAATAAGAGAGAGAGAGAGAGAGAGAGAGAGCTGCGTAGTATCTCTATATTTCGTGATATTATGAAAGAAAAACTAATCGTACAAATGGTTTATGACTATGTCGTATGCAGGAGCTTTTAATTTGTATGCGTCTGCGAGAGTTTAATAAGCTTCCCTGCAATAAGGATTAAAAGAGATTCATTAGTATTTTTACTTTTCGCAATATTGCTAAAAAAATCTAAATTATATTCCTGTATAATTAATAAATAAACTCCCATGGTCTCGAAAATATCATATTCAAAGGGGCAATGGAGGTGCAATTCGTGGAATCAAAGCAGAAAGAGGAAAGAGATATAAAAAATACGGTCTCACATATTTCCGCACAAGAAATTGCCATAGGGTGGCACTCATCCTCTGTAAAAATAGCGTAGAAACTGGATCCTTATAAAAATCTCATCAAGACAAAATCCACATTAATCAACGAGAGAAATATTATGGACTCGACTACATGACAATGTGATGTGTAATATATTAAAATAATTAAGATTTCTTTAAATCGATCGATTTTCTGATATTAACACAATTATCGCGAGGGACATAACATTATTAAATATTTGCGTCACAACATTAAAAAGCTTTTATCGTAGCGCTGTAAAGGTCCAGCTACAATACAATTAGCAGTAGGCAGTAATGTAGTAAGACGCAAGCAGTAGCACAACTTCTACAACCATGTCTGTCTACAATGAAGACGACGTAGCGGCAGCTACGACATAAAGTCAATCAGAAAATACATTGTTTGAGGTTACATGCAAAATAGTGATCGAGTTTTCTCAGCAGTTGCAACAATTATGAATTCACTGATTCACTGATAATACTGAAAATCGTCGTCAAACATAGCCTCAAAATGATGCAAGATACTTGTCGTAAGCCGTAGGCAGTACCGAAATGAAAATGGTTCATTTCGCTTACGATTACAGTTGCGACCTACTAAACCGGAAATACGTCTCTTACGACTACTGTTATGGCCTAAAACTCTCCATTGTAGCTGGATCTTAACCAGTTGTAGAGTTTTACTATTTAATTGTTTGTTAATTCATTAATTATTTAAGGCTACTTGTATATGCGACATCACCGACGTCGAAATTAGAACGCCGAAGTCTTTATTATAACAGCACGCGTAAGTGCATGCAATAGCCTTTTAAGCGGTTCATAAATTTTGGAAGGGTTCCGCAAACTTCCGCTAAATTATCTTTGATATATCTTCGTGCACGCATTGTGCTATAATTCAGATTATGTTTGAAATATATATTATTGAATATTGAAATTTATAAATTTTAAATTAAAACAGTATTTCCATTTCGCAAAATAAATATAAATTTCAAGCAGATTTTGAATTTATTAATAATGGGATAAATAAAGAATTTCACATAAACTGATTATTGTAACACGCAAATTAAAATTCAAGATATCTGAATTATCGAGAAACGCTAATCCGTTTTCGCGATATTCGTGATACTACTCGTATATACACAACGGCATAGATTAACGGGGTTAACCTATGCCGATTAATTACGTAAGCCTTAGCACATACGAGTTTTGAATGCGATGTACTTTATCATTACAATGGAATGGAATAGATATGGATTTTGTGCGATTCATAGTCCACTACAATTCATCTCTATACATCTTATACGTGCACATTATACCACGGAACTTCAATATCTGCGACTTATAGTGTTAGTTCAAGTGTTTCGCACTTATTCGACGCAAAAAGTCCTATCTCGACGACACCGTTTCGCATTTCCAATGGTGTGTTACAGAGCCAACAATGCGTTTCTCACGCGGATTGGCTACCGTTGGTCCATGCTCGAGTGTACCCCGCGTGTTAGTTGCAGTCGCGGAACTTCCGAGTACTTACTAACAACAGGCGAGCTTGTAACTTCGCTCGCCTGCTTACTTGACAATTCATCCAATTAGAGAATTCCAGCCCCTTCCAACGGAACGTTTCCGACCCACTTTCCGGCCGCGCGAGAAGTGGCCTCCTCGAGTTGGGATTTAAAAGCGCTTTCCGGGAGACGCGCGCGGCTAAAAAAAAGTACATGCAAAGTGAATCTCAACGGGGAAATTGCGACTCTCGCATTTAATCACTTATTTGTGTGAAATGGTTAAGCGAGATATCATGAGCGTGTTTATATTTGCCGGTGCGGCGCTAATCACGAGTTTATTTGCGTATTTCCAAAGTGCGTTTATTCAACATCAGCAATCCCATAAATAGTTAACATTGGCGAAAATTTACGAATTTACCTTGGATTAATGTATTTGTTATATAACTATGTAAAAATGAGAACTAGCAAAGGAAAGAAGCCGGCGTGGCGGCTTGACGATCTTCCACTTTAATCTTTCCTTCTTACACTTTCTATCATTACTTTGTTTTTAATTTGTAAGCCATCGCAAATGATTATATCTTGATAAGTACCCTACTTTCTAAATAGATGAAGTTTATTGTCGTTTCTCAAGATTCCTGAGAAGCTCGCAAAGTTGTTTACCTTAAATAAACCGCGACGATCAACGGCGGTCGCTCCTGTCGTGGATCCGTCACCTTAACGGGATGTAGGAAGGCCGGGATGTGCAGCCTGGATCTCGGATAGAGCGGTCCATGCGGTACCAACAACGTCAACGAATCATCCGCTCTAAGTTCCTTGTAATCCGCCTTGTTGGGTGCGAGCGGTATTTGGCCTAGAGGAGTAACTGGCTGTATTTGTACCCTGGGTCTACAGAATCCCGATTCACCGGTAGCATCGACCGAACCACCACCACTACCACCACCACCACCACCACCACCACCACTGCCGCCACCATTGCCGGCACCAAGTCCTCCTTCCTCCGTACGCGGTTCCAGCACGGAGTAAGCAACTTGAATCAATCGCGGCAGACTTTTGGCGACCTTGACACGGCCGGAAGCATCGGGCGGCGGTAATGGTGCCCACCAATCGGCCGGTATGGTAATCTGCGCGAGACATACGCCGTTCTCGCCATCGGGGCTGCAGGCAGCCGTAAGCGCGGATGATGAAGACGAAGAGGAGGAAGAGGAGGAAGAGTAACCATGTCCACTGCTGCTCCTACTCGCTGCATTCCCCCGTGATGGACTGGCCAGGGTGGCGTGCAACACCACGCAGACTCGCTGATGTCGTGCCATCAGCAGTTGACGTCTACCACCGGCCTCGCTACCGGCATGGAAGAGCACCCTAAGCACGGGCGAATCGCGCGGCACGCTGTTGCCCACCAGGTGAGCTGACATATCCAGATGGCGAGTGCCGAGCTCCTGCGCGTCAAGGATTGTTGCTGCCGTAAGATTACGTCGTGTCTCTGGTCCCGGCAACGCATCCAATGGATCGGGGACTATGTAACGCGCTGGTACGGTCTGTTTCGTGCTGAAAGGACCGTACGTGGCCCGCACCGATACCGGTTCGCTCGTCTGGAAGACGGTAAACTTGTCGATCGAGAGGACAGAGCCAGGCGGCGGCGATGGTACTGCACTTCCTGCATTATTGTTGTTGTTGTTATTCGATACACTTGTAGATAGCGGCGGGATGGTGTCCGACGTACCGCGAGCCGGATAATATTGCCGCGGTATGTGCTTCAGAAAGAATCCACCGTCCTTATTCTCAAAGTGAACCTCCACTGATGCCGCCACGTCTGGAAAGATAAAAAGAAACAACATAATTAAACGCAAAATCATCGCCTGGTTCAAATCGAAAACTCCTATTTTTATGGATTTTTAGATAGAATTTTAAAATATTTTAATGTATTTTTCTTAGTATTGAGTAAAAACGAACAATTTAACAGTCAAAGATAAAATTTTTTTCGGAAAAAGAAATTACTGACTGTTTATACTATTAAAATTGAAATTAATAAAACTCAACTAATCTGAGTCTGATGACTCAATGATATTTTACTGATTTAATTGGTTGGACCAGATCTGGCCAGCCGATCACCAGTACTACAACCAGGCCTATAAGTTATTCACTGTACTGTCCGATTTGGACACGGGTCCTTTCGAACTTTGGAACAAATTTTACAATAAACCACAAAAGTGATCACGAAATGCTTGATATCTTTGAATTCTACACTCTTTAATTATCTTAAATCAATTATTTTTCAAATTTTTAACACCTTTTAAATAATGATTTACAAGGATTTTCTTTTTTAAAAAAATTTTCGCACGATGGCTGAAAATACATATTTGCCTCTATTTTATGAATGTTATGACAGAGAAGTGTCAAACTGCTATCACATGTTCGGTGTCTTATAAGGACTTTACATTATAAATAGTACGCAAATCTGCTTAACCGTATTCATTTAAATTAAAAAATCCTATTTGGAACACGGTCCGATTTAGACCACTCTCCCCTATAATCAGGATAATTTGGATCATAGTCCAATATTTTATAAGTACATAAATGATCTTTGTGTATTCACACATAACAACAAAACTATTGTAAAGCATGTTTATACCTATAGCATCTATAATTCGAAGTTATCTAAATTTCAGTCTTTAAATTTGTATATTTCTCAAATGTTTTTAAGAATGTCTAACTATAATTAATCTTTGAGCATCTGTTATCCTTTACTTATTTTATATTCTTTCACTACTAATCACTTTTCGATTCCGCAAATATTCCGTATATATCTCGTGGTCTTAAATATTGCCATCGTTCCACGTTGCGCCTTGGCCTTCAACGACAGCGACGGCGACGGCGACGATTTCTCTGGCAATAAATCAC